AACTATAAAAATTGTTGAAAGAAATTAAAGAAGACTTAAGGAAATGGAAAGACATCCCACGTTCATGGATTGGAAGATATAATATTAAGATGGGAGTATTCTCCACCTTGATTTACAGATTTGACAGAATTCTTATCAAATTACCCACTGGCTTCTTTGCAGAAACGTAGAAGCTGATTCTAAAATTCAAATGGAAATTCAAGGGACCTATAATAACTAAAATTAATCTTGAAAAAGACAAACCAAGTCAGAAGACTTAAACTTCCTTATTTCAAAACTTACTAAAAAGTTACAGTAATCTAGACAGTGTGGTACTGGCATAAGGACAGATATGTTGATCAGTGAAATAAAACTAAGAGTCCAGAAATAAACCCTAAAAATTATGGTCAGTTAATTTTCAACAAGAATGCTAAGATAATTCAATGAGGAAAAATAGTCTTTTCTACAAATAGTACAAAGATAGCTGCACATCCACAGGCAAAGGCATCAAGTTCAACTCCCTCCTTACCCTGAACAAAAATTAACTTCAAATTAACTCATAGACCTAAATGTAAGAGTTCAAACTATAAAACTCTTAAAAGAAAATATCTTCATGAGTTAGGTGTAACCTTCTCAGAAACAACACCAAAAGCAAAAGTGACAAAGAGAAAACAGATGTATTGAACTTCAATATTAAATAATCTGCGCTTGAAAAATATATAAAAGACTCATAACTCAATAATAAAGCCAAATAACCCAATTAAAAATGGGCACAGGATCTGAATATACATTTTTCTAAAGATATACAAATGGCCAACAAGCATATAAGATATTTAACATCATTATTCATCAGGGAAATGCAAATCAAAACCACAATAAGACACCACTTACCATGGAGATTCTAAACTCTCTCTTTAAGAGAAAATGTAATAGAAAAATAGAAAATAAGGAACCACACAAAATCCAGAAACAAACTCATGTATGTGTAAGAAGTCAATATGTAATAGAGTTGGCATGGTAAAATAGCAAGAAGGTATACTACTCAATAAGTGGTTTGGCAAAAATTGGCTAAGTATTTGAAGAAAAATCAAACTGGATCCATACATGATATATAGAAAAGAAATTTAGATAAAGTATAACAAAAGAAATATATGTGTATTGTAATTAACTTTGATATTAAGACAATATTATTAAAGAAGACATAAGTCCCCACATAAACAAAAAGGGGGCAAGTTAATGCATTTAAGTAAATTAAAAAATTTAAAAATTAATATAATAAATTATCATAAATACAAAGATAAAGGCATACAATAGAATAAAAAAATTTTTGCGATTTTTATAACAGACAAAAGATTCTTTTTTAGAAGACCTAAAGAACACTCACAGAATGTAAATTGGTACAACTACTATGAAAAACAGTATGGAAGTTCCTCAAAAAAATTAAAAATAGAACTACTGTAAAAGCCAGCAATTCCACTTCTGGGTATTCATATGAAAAAAATAAAAACATTAATTTGAAAAGATATATGCACCTCTATGTTCACTGCAGTTACAATAGCCAAGATATGGAAATGACCTAAATGTAGATTAATGACTGAATGGACAAAAATGTGGTATATATATACATAAGGGAATATTTAGCCGTAAAAAAATAAATCTTGCCATTTGTGACAACATGAAGGGATCTCAGGGGGCATTATGCTAAATGAATAAGTCAGGGAAAGACAAATACTGAATGATTCCACTTATACGTGAAATCTAAAAATCAAAGCAAATGAACAAACAAAAGAAAACGGATATAAAGAACAGACTGGTGGTTACCAGATGTGGGGGGTGATGAGGTGGGTGAAATGGATGAAGGGTGTAAAGACGTACAAGCTTCCAGTTAGAAAATAAATAAGTCATGGTGATGTAAAGTAGAGCATGGTGGTAATAGTCAATAATGCTGTGTCACATATTTGAAAGTTGCTAAGAGAATAAATCTCAAAAGTCATCACAAAATCAAAAAATTTGTAACTTTGGTAACAAATGGTAACTAGACTTATAATGTGGTGATTATTTCATACACAAATATTGAATCATTATGTTGTAAACCTGAAACTAATATGTGTCAATTATATCTCAAAAAACTCCCACAAAGCAATAAGAACCAAAAACAAAAGATAAATAAAAGACAAGCACGATATATGAACAGAAGACACAGAGGAACACAAATACTAATGACTACCCATCAAAACCTAAAAATATATTCTAATTCATAAATAATTAAGATATCATTTTTTCCCATTAGATCAACAAGAATTTAAATATATGATAACACAGCATAGCAAGGTTACAGGGCAACGAGTATTATGAAATACCAATGACAGAAATGTAAATTGTTATAGCCCTATGAAGGGTACCACACATTAATTTTAAAATGTATAAACCCCTCAGATGAGCATTTACCCTTCTAAGTTATTAATTCTATAGAAATAGTTGCAGATGTACATGAAGAGTCATGGGATGTTTACTGCAACTGTTTTAATATCAAAATTTGACAGTGTTGGTGCTCATCAAGAGACAGAAACAAGTTAGGAGAAATTCACACTATTCAATACTTAAAAATGAATAACATATATAAATACACTGACATTAAAAGTTCCAGTGCTACCATTAAGAAAAATCTAGCTTCGCAATATATACATCATGATCCAATTTATATTAAAAAATATTTTATGTTTGTGTTCAGAAAGGATAAAAAGATATATATATAGAGAGATATATATAGAGAGATCTCTCTCTACATATATATATACACATATACATATATATACATACACACACACACACACACATACGTGTGTATATATATATCTCCACACACACACACACACTCATGTAAAGTTTTATCTCCAGGCTTTGGAATGAGAAGGACTAATGAAGGATATTTTATTTTTATTCAACATACTTATATATTGTTTGACTATTTTACAATGATGATATTCCCTGATCATTTAAATTTAGTAAGCCTTTAACAGGATGTATATGTTAAACCCTGGTAATTAACATTCACCTAGAAGCCTGAACATCAAACAATCATATATTGTCAGTGTATTCTTTCTTTTGTTATAATTATATATTTCATTGCCAATATCATTTTGTATCTGAAATTTTATATTTTTCAAAAATTATTATTTCATGAGGATGTTCCTTTATTAGAAAGTCTCCTTATGTATTGACTATATAATGTATCCACCTTAGTTATTAAGAAAAGTGTTTCCTTTGTCCTTTAGTGGTTCATTGTGAGGATTATCCTTGTGTGGTAGCTTTCCACTGATCATATTTATAACATATGTGGACCAACTGTATGTAGTCACTGGACTTAGAGGAAATTCAGGGGCAAAATAAACCACTTTTGACTTAGACAGAGGAAATTCAGGGACAAAATAAACCACTTTTGCCTCTTCAGAATCAATAAGATAAATGAGACAATACAGTATTTGGTAAGTATTCAATAAACACTATCTGTTTTAAGCATTATTCTCAATTTCAGTAAGAGAAGTACCTAGCAGTGACTTCTTTATCAGTTTAGAAATACATACCAATTAGTAGATCACAACGTTTATATACTGTTATTGAACTGTACAATTAAAATGGTTAAAATGGTATACTTTGTTACATTTTACCACCATAAAAAATTTTTAAAGCCATACTACTTAGTAGAGCCTATAATAAAAACTCATTACTCATTTGATATTTTGATTGACTAAATGAAGCAGTTTACTAGAAACTCCAGATCAAGCCCAATCCAATGAATCAGCAATGAGGTATGGATCTACGTGTTACTAAAGAAGTATTCTATTAACGATTTTTTCCGCCTGTCTAGAATCTAGGGTTTCAAAATTGCTGAACAGTTTTCTACTTACCTTTATTTCTTACATGCAGGTCACCAAAGGTTTACTCTGCAGAGAGGACTAAAAAGAACAGATATAGCATTTTTTTTTTTTTTTTTTTACCACCACAGAGCTCCTGAATAAGAAATTAGTGGAGCTTGTGTTTGAGACATTTATTCACCAGACCCTAACATATCTTATAAAATGACATTATTTAAAATTTAAATCTCTAAGGTTACAATGGGGGTAGTTATTAAGATAGAACTTCTCCCTATAGTAGGCTGTGAAAGTTCTAGAACCCTGCAGCCACTATGATCTAAGCCAGAATTTATATGTAGACAGTCGTTCTGGGGACTGTAAAATTACTAGTTCGGGTCAACTGAATGTGTCTAAATTAATGGAGTGGATAAGCAAATATACTATTAAAAAAAAAAAAAACTTGCTGAGAATTTCTGAGAGCTTTTAAAATGTGAGTGTTCTCTCTTTCCTTATAACTAGAAGGAATGTGGTTGGTATCAGTGGGGATTAATAGGAGAGTTAAAAGCGAAGTCCCTGGATTGAAAGATCATGTTTCATACATTAAAGAGTTATTAAGAATAACAGGGAAAAAAATAAAAAAGTTTTACAAAATTTTTTCTGGCTAGTGATATAGTACCCACTGTGGAAACTAGTTTATTTTTCATCTAATTTATTCCTAGAAAATAAGTGTAGCTGAGATTACATTTTTCTGTCACAGACATATTCTGCTTATAATTTTCCATCTATTAGCAATGATATGAACTTTTAGCAATGATTTATCACTATTAAAAAAATTATGCACTATCATATTCCTCCCCTCTCTGCTAATCAATGTTTCAGACTAGATTTTTTTAAATGCTCTTTTTGGTGAAAGTAAATCTTATTTCCAGAATTTTAAATAAGGTCATCTAAAATATTACAAATTAGTTTCATAAAAAGGTATATCTGCCTTCTTCAAAATGGAGACCAAAAACAAGGCTAAAATGCCCAATAGCAAGATGGAACTTTTGCAACATAAACCGGTTGACTTTTCAGTCCTAAATATGCTTCTATACCCCAGTAATTTCAGGCACTGGTAAAGGAAAAGGAGTGTATGATGACGTTAAAAGCAAAATTCCACTAACTTACTGAAAGCAATTGGGTCCAAATATAGTAGCGAGATTGTGAACATTCATGCGATTCTGCACATGGTGCTGGGCTACTTTGGTCAAGAACTGGCATAGGTACTTGAGGAGACAGTAGTGGGTGTATGGTAGTTCTTTTAGTAAGTCTCTTAAGCTACTCTCCTGAGCATCACTTCTGTCATCTGAAAAGAAAGAATAAAAAATGTTCTCAGGCATATTCCACAGTAATGATTAAAAAAGTATACAGGTATATTAAATTCTAACATATTATTCAGAAAAAAAATTCCTAAAAACTAAAATAGGCCATCAAATAAGAGGCATTTTTCCCTTTTCTTTGCTCTTTAAGCACTTAACTTTTTTTGTTAAAAAATTCCTAACTTGTTCAAGACACCCTGAAAACCATGAACTTTATTCACTGCATAAAATGAGTTCGATTTTGTGTTTTCTTCACCAAAAGTAAGATGTTTGGGTTTTTGTCCATAGTGGAATATTTCATTTGATTTTTGTGTTCAAGTTTGGTAAAAACAAGAATCTCTTATTTGAATAAAATATGATACGAGACACTTTCCTGGGTCACCATGAGCAACACTAAACAGTGGTCAGGAACCTGTGCACAGAGAAAATTGAAGGGAATTTTTTATTTCTATATAGCTTTTTAATCTCTCATAGTTTATTATATGCCTCTCATACAAATGCCTAATAATCTTGTTTTAGGTCCCAAATATTTAACTATGCTTCAAAATTCACAAGCAGACATATGAAAAATTTCCCCTCAATTCTCAAAGGTTTATTTTGTCAATATTTAAACACAGTTAAGTTGCTATCTTAAGTAATTTTGTATACTACTTGCTATTAGAAAAATTCAAATCTTTTCTAGCAAATACTTTAGGGGAATAATCACAATCCATCCTTTAGACAGATGTCTAATAGAATGAAAACTTAATTCAGTTATAATTAATATGCATTGAATTTTTTAATTTAGATAGGTCAGCTGCTTTAGCCAGTCTAGTGAATAAGAAACAGAAAAGTGAGGCAAATGAAATGCAACAGAAGATGAGTCAGTGTTACAAAATACATGCATGACATGATGCCATTGCAGGAAGTAGGAACACAGAAAACACACAGACCATCACGTAAAGTGCCACTGACTGGCTGAAGAGCACAAGAGAAGAATCCAAGTTCAGGAGTCACTTCCTGGGTTAAGACTCTGGTTCTGCCACCTGCTACAGCAGTCCCTCTTTACCCACCATTTCCCTTTCCCTGGTTTCAGTTACCTGACGTCAACCACAGTCACAAATTATTACATAATAATTCCAGAAATAAACAATTCCTAAGTTTTAGGTTGTGTGCTGGTCTGAGTAGTGTGATGAAATTCCATGCCACGCTGCTCCGCCCTGCCCGGAATATGAATCATCCCTTTGTCCAGCATCACCACTCTGCAGACACTTTCTGCCTGTTAGTCACCAAGTAACCTTTGGTTATCAGACTGTCAGTGCTTGCGTTCAAGTAACCCTTATTTTACCTAATAATGGCCCCAAAGCTCAAGAGTAGTGATGCTGGCAATTTGGATATGCCAAAGAAAACGCTAAAGTGTTTCCTTTAAGTGAAAAAGTGAAAGTTCTCAACTTAATAAGGCAAGAAGAAAAATCGTATGCTGAGGTTGCTAAAATCTACAGCAAAAATCTTTGGTCCTTGAAATTGTGAAAAAAAAATTTGTGCTGTCGCATCTCAAACTGCAAAAGTTAGAGCCATCGTGCTTAGTTAAGATGGTAAAGGCATTAAATTTGTGAGTAGAAGACATGAACAGAAAACGTGTTCCGATTGACAGCAATGTATTGTGCCAGAAAGCATTGAAATTATACAGAGATTTTTAGCAGGGCATCCCCTGAAACAAATGACACCAAGCCATTTACTCCAAGTAAGAAATAGGTTTGAACTGAAAAATGTAAAATTTACTGGAGAGAGCAGTCATAAAACTTTTATTACCATATATTGTTATAATTGTTCTATTCTATTAGTTATTGTTGTTAATATATTACTGTGCCGAATTTATAAATTAAACTATACCATAGGTATGTACATATAGGAAAAACATAGTATATATAGGGTTTGGTATATCTGAGGTTTCAGGCACCCATTGGGCATCTTGGAATGTATCCCCCACAGATAACAAGTGACTACTGTAACTGTGTGAACTTAGATTCTTTACTAAATTGTTTCCTTATTTGTAAATGGTAATATCAACTATCTCATAGGGCTGTGACAAGGATTAAATGAGTTGACAGTTGTAAATTACTTAAAACAGAATGGCTGACACATACTAAGTGCTATGAAAGTTATTTGTTAAATAAACACAGTAACTCCTTTTATTTTACCTTCATTAGCACACTGAGGTTATAATGAAAAGCGTTTTAATATGAGCCCATTTCACCTAACATTCTAACATTACAGATGTTAGAATAAGTGATGCTGCCCAAAATGTATAGACTGAATCTTTGCTAGAATACTTTGGAGAATATTCTATTTATGATAAGTTTTTTCTTACTGGTCAAGAAATGATGTTATCCAATAAACTATATAATGTTTACAGTGAAATAGATTTCTTGATATTAGAAGTTTTCAATACTAATTTAAATTATCTTTATATGAATCTTTATATAGAAAACCCTAATGATTCCACCAAAAAAAAAAAAAAACTACTAGAAACAATAAACAAGGACAGTAAAATTGCAGGATACAAAATTAATATACATAATTCCCCTGCATTCCTATATACTAACAATGAAATTTCAGAAAAAGCAACAGAAAAAACAATTCCATTTGCAATTATAACAAAAAGAATAAAACACCTAGGAATAAACTTAACAAAAGACGTGAAGAATTTATACACTGAAAAGTACAAGACATTATTAAAAGAAATTGAAGACACATAAAATGTAAAGATACTGTGTTCATAGATTGGAAGAATCAACATAAAATGGCCATGTTAACCAAGGCAATAGATGAATTTAAAGAAATTCCCATCAAAATCCCAATAGCATTTTTTAAAGAAATAGAACAAAAAATTAAATTTGTATGGAACCACAAAAAACTCTGAATAGCCAGTGATTCTGAGGAACAAGACCAAAGCCAGAGGTATCACATTCCTTTATTTCAAATTATACAAAGCGACAATAATCAAAATAGCATGGTATTGGCAGAACAACAGACACGGACCAATGGAACAGAACAGAAAGCTCAGAAATAAATTCATAGATATGGGCAAATAATTTTTGACAAAGGAGTCAAAAACATACAATGGAGAAAAAAGAGCATCTTCAATAAATGGTGCTGGGAAAATTGGAAAGCTTCATGAAAAACAAAGAAACCAGATTGCAATTTGTCACCATATACAAAAATTAACTCAAATGGATCAAAGACCTATATATAAGATCTGAAAAAAGAAAATGCACAGAAGAAAACATAAGTACTAAACTTATAAATCTTGGTCTTAGAGAAGAGTTTATTAATTTGACCCCAAAGGCAAAGGAAGTGAAAGCAAAAGTAAATGAATGGGACCATATCAAACTAAAAAGCTTCTTTACAGCAAAAGAAACCATCGACAAAGCATAAAAGCAACTAACTGAATGGGAGAAGATATCTGCACCACCTCAGATAAGGGGCTAATATTCAAAACATATAAAGAATTCATACAATTCGACAACAAATCCAATTAAAAAATAGGCAGAGGACCTGAACAGATACTTCTCCCAAGAAGACATACAAATAGCCAACAGATACATTAAAAAAAGCTCAACCCTACTAGCTGTAAGAGAAATGCAAATCGAAACCAGAATAAGATACCATCTCATACCTGTTAGAATACCTATTACCAACAAGAAAAGAAATAACAAGTGTTGGAGAGGTTGTAGAGAAAAAGGAACCCTCATACACTGCAGGTGGGAATGAAAATCGGTACCACCATTATGGAAAACAGCATTGGGGTTCCTCAAAAAATTAAGAATAGAGCTACCACATGACCCAGCAATCACTGTTCTGGGTATCTGACATATTTAAAAACATTTATTTGTAAAGATACGTGTACCCCTATGTTCACTGCAGTATTCAAGGTGGCCAAGACCTGGAAACAACCTAAGTGTCCTTCGACAGATGATTGGATAAAGTTGTGGTATGTATATACAATAGAGTACCAGTCAGCCATAAGAAAAAATGGATGGATTGTGGGAATATCATGCTAAGCAAAATAAGTCAGAGGGAAAAGAACGAGAATCATATGATTTCACTCATATGTGGGATATAAAATGGAAAGCAACAAATGAACAAACCAAACAAACAAAAAAGTCATTAATACAGACAACTATATGGTGGTCACCAAAGAGTCAGGGGGTTGAGGGAGGTAGAAGGAGATAAAGGAGTCAAATATATGGTTACGGAAGGAGACTTGACTTTGGGTGGTGAACACACATGTAATATTCAGATGATGTATTATAGAATTGCACACCTGACACTTATATAATGTTATTAACCAATGTCACTCCGATATACTTAAAATTTTTAAAAATTACTTTTAAAAAGAAATCATATTCAAATACTTTGATAATCCATAAAACATTTAATATATTGCTTATAATGGCATTCACTGCACTATGGTCTTGACTAGCAGAGTCAAGATTTACTTGACTAGCAGTAAAAAAAGGGAAATAATTAAGTTTGGAGTGATTAAAAAGTAACTGAAGATGACCCACTTCACATACCTCTATATTATAAAGATAAATAAATATGAACTAAAAGAAAACGTAATCTTATTTTGCCTTTCTTTTTTTACAATAATTAATTTAGAGTGAGTCTGGATGTCTTCACGGTGTGTTCTGTTTAAAATTGTAGTTTAACTCCCACCACTTAAGAGTACAAGCAACAGCATTCCTACAGCCTTGATACTGGGCTGTCCGTCTGACTCTGAAGTGAAAAATCAAATCCTAAGGCAGGCAATGTGTGAAGACACCAGGTCAAATAAAATAAATACTCAAAATAGTTATTAATTTATGATGACAATATGTTAGGAAAAAAACAGCACTTTCATTATTTACTTCCGATTTTTGAAATCCAATAAATAATCTTCCCAGGAAATAAAATGGACAAAAAATGGAAAGGGAGACAGATACAGAGAATCTCAAACTTATTA